GGGAATTAAAGTCAGAAAATTTAATCTTTCAACTATAAATTTTTAAAGCCTATTTGTTTTGGAAAAGTAGTTCCGGTTAGGTGGTTTCCTGCTTACATTTGTTAGTGCATGATTGAACGGGAAACCAGTTGCAATCGTGCCAATCGCAACTTTTCGGCCCTTTCCGTCACTCTTCGGGTTAATTATAATAGCCGAGGTTGTTCCGATTGCAATCGTGACAATTCGGGCGATTTCGTCATACTGCGTATTTACACGGTCTTTCATTCGCTTTGTACGCCATTTGGCATCCTTGTGTGAAACGTTGCGGTTTTCGTTGCTATTGGCCAATCAGAAGACTCGTTACAAAATATCGAACAGCTGATTGACAATGGCGTAGAAAGGAATCTAAAGACCGTGGAAAGGTTTGAAATTCGAATTTTGCGTGTATCAGATGCTACTGATGGTTGTGAGTGGTCCAACTTAATGTTTTTAGTAATATTATTTAGTAAATTCAAGTGATTTTGACCCGTACTCAGCTGACATACACGTATTAGTCTATGTTTACCTACCGAATTGTTGTGCCGCAATTCTGTCTACCAAGTATTTTTAGCACGAATTCGCTCGTTTCCTGATAGATATTTCATGAACGGGAAGGGCTAGAGACTTGGGGTTGGTCTCATTTTGAAGCTTAATATAAACGTGAAATAGTGATAAAAGTTTTATTTAATTCTCTGGCCAATTGTTTTCACAACGGCCCGGGAAATGAATCCCTTGCTCGTAGGCTCGAATCTGGGGTTTCCGGCCTTCTCTTAACTTATAGTATATTTTTAAAGGGGGTCATTATTTACATTTTTTTGTTTGCTTTTTTTTGACATTTTTAAGATGAACACAGGTTTTTATTTCAATCTGGTCATATTTTTTCTTCCCAGGTCCGATACTCGTGCCTGTGATTTTTACTTGATTCCGTTTAAATTCTTTTTCAAGACGCAAAAGTTAGTTTCTTTATAATTGGTTTTTGTCTTTATTAGTGATATAAAATAGAGAATGGTTACTGTAGTATTATTCCGTTTCCAAAGGGCGGTCCTGCTTACCAAAATATCGTGACCGAATCACGCAGAATATTAGTGCATGGTCAAGTTATATTTAGATCTACTGACATAGTTTAAACGTCTTGCTGAGGTAATCTAAAAATAGCCCATGCATATCATTAACCTTACCACGTGGTGATCTCCTGTCCATAGATATTTTAGGTGTAACATTGTTGATACATGCTTATTAATTGGTACCACGTAACGAAGTCTTTTAGTGCATTCACTTGTCTCTAAAGCTGCTATAGACTGCCAAAACGAATGACTCTCTCTGCGGAAAAAGTGGAAATGAAATGTCCTTCAGTACGATAGATTGATCTCCACGTGAGAGCCAATGTTAGTATTTTTTACGATTGATTATTTTAATAGAGAATAGATTTCAAATCGTTTTTGACAAAAAAATATTCATTTTTACAAAAAAAGTTGCAACTGTTATCGTCAGCATGTTCCCGTTCAGTTATAAACAGTGGACTTCGGGTCCCTATTTACGCATAACCACTGGTACTCAAACAAATGGCACAGGTGCTCGTCCAGTCTTGGGGCTTACCCTACCTATCCCTTTAAAAGTGAAACTTTTTTTTTTCTAGAAAAAACTATATAAACCCTTTATGATATACAAATACCGTAATTCAAAAAAAAATTGTCATAATAAATTGAAACAAGAAAAAACCCCACAATTTTAAAGGGAAGGGATGATGACACACTGAGCAAGCCTTTCCTTTTGAAAGGAAACTTTATTTGAGCTCACCTGAGCTGGCTCAATGTGAGCTTTTAGGATCTGTGAAAGTATGTTGTCCCTTGGACGTCCACAGTTAGTTCGTTAACACTGTGGTGGTCACATTTTTTGCCTCGATTGTCACCAAACTTTGTCAGGATGTTTGTTCAAGTAATTGATTGGACAAGTTTGAATATGAAAAACTAGGACACAGAAGCTAGAAATAGAAAAATCTTGATAACACTCTAGTGGCGACTAATTAAGATCAAATATCCTGGACATTGGTCAGAAAGGTTATTTTGATGATTTCTAGCTCAAGTTCGAATATGGGTCACCTGTGGTCAAAAACTAGGGTACACAGCCTGAATATGGAAAACCTTAGGCTACTGTTTAGTCCAAACATCCTGTAAATTGATCAAAATGGTTGTTTAAGCGATTTCTAGCTCAAGATCAGAAACTAAGTCACACAGCCCAAATATGCAAAAATCTTGTAAACACTCGGGAGGCAACTGTTTCGGTCTAAATGTCCTGGAAATTGGTAAAAAGGTTGAATAGATTTGAATATAGGTCATATGAGGTCAAAAACTTCATGCAGCCGAAATATGGAAAAGCCTTGGCAATACTTTCAGCCCAAATTTCCTGGATATTGGTCAGATATCTAGCTCAACTTTGAAAATGGGTCATCCGGGATCAAAACTATAACATGTTATCTGTATTCATTCATTGCTAACAATATTCATAGAAGGCCTTAATAATCAGATGGGGGATATAATGGCCATCATGGCCCTCTTGTTTAATATGTAAATAATGCAGTACGTTTCTGATTTCAATTGTTTTCCGAGGTCAAACTAAAATTTTCTCTCCAAATCAAAACATCAAAAACTTAAAGGAAAACTTGGACAGTTTACATTGGTAATGACACACAATCTTACTTTTATATGATTATTGACTTAAAAAATCTCAATTAATTTATGAAATTACTGATACATTAAATAACATAATTGTTAACGATATTATGAATGTTATTATATATTATGTCATAATACATTTGATATGCTTGTATAAGACAGCATCTGAGGCAGCAACTTGATTAAAACCTTTACAAAATTGTAGTATTCACAATTTGATGTTTTGCTTTTTAATCTGTTAACTTTGTGTTTCATTATTAAAATAAAAAATATTAAGTCTGTTCATTCTTGTGTTTCTCACTGTTCTGCATTATTACCACTGTTAAAACAAAGACGATCCGACCTGGAACCTCCTAACGGTATCAGTTGAGTGTTTGAATCCAACTGAGGGTGTTATATTCATTCATGTGAGGAAGCTATACAGCTTATGAAAGGTAGTTGGTTCTACTTGACTAATTAAATGCACAGAATGGCACCCAATTAAGATCTTCCTCCGCTTGTTAAATCACCATAATTATGTCCTTGATAGTGCATGTGTAAGTTGCAACCCAACAAAAATAGAAAAACGGTACTCTAAACTTTTTCATTGGAGCTTGGTTTGGGATTAGTCTTCCGTAATATAATACAATTTGATACATATTCAAAAAGACTTCACTTAGTCCCTTTTCCACTTGTGGGTATAGTGCTGCATTTGTGTTGAGACCCTTTGCACTGCCTTACTCAATGGAAGATAGACAGCCTTAGCTCAGCTCTATTGTAAAGAAAAGTATAGGGTGATATTTAAGTGAAAAAGTGTTTAACTACTCTGCATTACTTTTGCCAAAGTGGTACAACACCTTCATTTCTGTCCCAAAAGTAAATTTCAAAACACAATGTATAGTAAAATTAGCTTTTATATATGGAATTATGTCATTAGTTTAAACAATATTTTATTTCTATTTTACAACATAAATATATACAGTAACCATATATAAATACACTGATATATTTCGTGGATTGAAAAACAAGTCAATTATGTCATTAAGATGTGTTAATTGTTGGTCATTGTGAGATTTCAATTATACTACCACAATTAGGACTTCAGAGTATAGAGAACTCTGACTAAAGAATACATCTATTGACTTCATGTATGTTTCATGGCAACAAAGTAACGCACCAAAAAAGGAAATTGGCAAAAAACAACAAAACAAAAAAAACTAAGGAACACATCATGTGATATTGAACACACAGTGAGGAGTAGAGCTTCAAATAATGATTAGATTATCATTTTCTTACACTCTACATAAATATTCATTCTGTATTTAGAAAGCAACAAATAACAGTACAACTTCTGAAACATGGTCCTATATATTTATTATTACATGAAATTTATAACATACAATGTATTCTTTCTCGCAATCTATTTACACAACTCATATTCCATTGTACAAAAAAACAACAAAAAACTAGAATGTAAAAGAATGAAATTCCAAGAAAATGTGATTGGAAAATGCATAGCCCCAAAAGCAAAAAGCTCAAGATCATGGCCATCAAGTAACCGGTTTAATTATCAAAGTCCATTAAGAGGGACCATCATAACTAGTCTAAAAGTCAATCGACTAACTACTCAAGTCATAAACTCTGAAAATGCTGTTAAGTGGCTTGACCTTAAGTGCTCAAGTCAATAAAATTATAAAGTACTAGATCTAGTACAGTATTAAACTTTTGTGGGTGATAAATCAATTCAGTTATTTTCTTAATTCAGAAAAGTGAGGGTTCTCTTTAAATAATTATGACATATTCTGAAACTTAACACTGTAAAGACAATTTTGGTCAGTAAATTCAACAACTGTTTTGGTCAGTAAATTCTACAACTGTTTGCTTCTTATAGAAGCTGATCTATACTCGGTTTATCTATTCCTGATGTTCAAGGGTAGATTACTGAAGACAAATGGCATTGTTAAATAACTTGACAGTGTCATTACCTATTGTAGTTTTCGGTTAAAGAGTAAAATGCAATGACATGTCTATTTCTTTAAGTAGTAAACAATTCACTTTGTAGAAAAAAGGGTAACTGGTACATACTTTCAAATTATAAAGATAGATGGATTGCTAAACAGAAGGTTCAATAACTAAATGCTTCCTTTGGTAGTATGTAATAGAAAAGCATTTTTCTTTCTCTTAGCTTTTATAAGAAAAAGTAAAACTATATTCTTCTCAATCAGGTAATCTAAACATGTGTTACAATTTTTCATAAGTACTGTAATATTTTCCAAGAACAAATCAGCTTTGCATTCAAAGGTAATCCTGTATGACAATGAAAATCCTAACCTAGGAAATATCATTTGCACAGTTTACGAGTTCAAAATCAATATACATGTACTGAATTCTCCTGACAATCTGCATTTACCACTGTAAAAAATTACACGGCAAGATAAACAAAACATAGAAAAAGCTCTTCGTTTAAATCTTCTTTACAGCAAGATTTTCGTAAGCATCTAAGTCAGAAAGTCCTTTGATCTCTTTCACTGCAGTCGATGGTGAAATTTCTTTCACTGCGGTCAATGGTGACTCAATGCTTTCATATGCTTGCAAATCATTCAATGAAGCAGGTTCTTCTTGTCCCTCGAACTTTCTTTGGTCTTTCTTGGCTTTATTAGCCTTATCAGTTTTAAACATTCGAAACAGTCCTTTTTCTCTCTTTGGTACCTTGTAATTTTCATATTCCTCCAATTCATTCAGACTGCATATCTTTTTATCAGGATCGCCCAAGTGCTTGCCTTCTTCATTATTACCCATAATGCTCATATTTCCTGTTGTTTGGTTCTCATACGTGTCAAGGTCATTAATGTTTGGTTTTTTCCCTGATTTTTTTGGAAGTTTTGGAACGGTGTCATACTGCTCCTGTGCAGATAGCTGATCATGGCTCTCTTTGTTCACATAACCATGAAGACGGCCAGGGTCAGGGTCATATCTTTCATATGCTGGTAATACCTTAATAGATAAATTCAATCCAAAATGACAGTTAACACAATTTAATAAAAGTAAGCATTTAGTAAAAATAATATTTTTATCACTATTTAAAATGTTAACAGATAATTTCTTTAGGTTATTTAAACAAATAGGAGATTTAAATTTCAGTACCAGATATGAAGAATATACCAGTATTAATAAAAACACATGTATTTCAAAAAGCTCATCTTAGTAAATATGGATAATGGACTTGTCCAACTTTGAATATTGAAGTATTTTTTGTTGATGTGAAGAAATTTGATATCAAAATGCTAAAATTAAGCACCCAGCTAATAAAGGTCACACTTAAAACTGTCAAATTTAATCTTTAAAGCTGCACACCTCCAGATTCATGCTTCTTAAGTTACCATAAAATTTTTAAAAGTGTATTTGAAAGGAAAATATTGTGAAGTAAACAAAGAATGTAATCTATTAATTGCAAATGACACTTACAGTCCACACAAATTATAAACTAGAAATGTGTCATCATGCCACAGATGCCCCCGCATGCAGCCAAAATTTCAGATGTTATAATATTTAGTTCCAAATTTGTTTGCACAAATTATTTTTTTCATTTTCATTCAAGTTCAAAGCCCTTAAAACTATTCAATGCTAACACAAACCATTTTTAAACAAAGTTCAAGGCACTGAAACTATTCAGTGTTAACCTTTTGTAAAATGCATATTTCTAGCCAAATTAATGGCTACATACATTTCCACAAAAGTATGAGTGCTGAAACTGAAAATTCAAAATATTTCCAACATTCAAGGGAGATAACTTTGTCCAAAATCATTGAACTACAACCAAATTCAAACTTGAACTGCTTATTCCTAAGATGTATCTATATGTCAAATTTGAGTTGAATGTGTAGATCTACAACCATTGGGGACATAATGAACTGAAACTTAAAATTTCTGATTTTTTTTCAAAGTTCAAGAGGGATAACTCTGTCAGCTATCATCAAACCATGACCAAATTGGAAATTGACCAATGCATTCTTATGACATATCCATATCTTTAATTTGAGTTGAATATGTACAATTGTTGGGAGATAATGAATGGGAACTAAAAATTTCCTTTTTTTTCAAAGTTAAAGGGGCAAAACTCTGCCAAAAATCATTGAACCATGAAAAAAATTTGAACTTGACCTGCGTATTTCTTTGATGTACCCATATGTCAAATTTGAGTTGAATGTGTAATACCCTAGAGGAGATAATGAACGGAAACTGAAAATTTCATATTATTTTCAAAGTAAAAGGGGCATAACTCTGCCAAAAATCATTGAACCATGACCAAATTTGATCTTGACCTGTGCATTCCTTTGACATATCCATAGGTCAAATTTGAGTTGAATGTGTAATACCGTTGGGGAGATAATGAACGGAAACTGATAATTTCATATTATTTTCATAGTAAAAGGGGCATAACTCTGCCAAAAATCATCCAACCATGACCAAATTCGAATTTGACCTGTATTTTCTCATGACATATCCATATGCCAAATTTGAATTGAATGTGTGCAACCCTTACTATGATAATGAAAGAAAACTGATGATGGTGGAATGACAGAATGACGGAACAGGGTAACACTATATGCCTCAGCCTTATGGCAGGGGCATAAAAAGAGGTCAAATATGAAAAAAAAACACCTTGAAATAGACGAGAAATATGATGATAAATACTGCACAATCAGTCTTTAATTGCATATTTCATGTTAATTATTAATCTTACTACTTTTCTAAAAGTCTTAGGACATTTTCTCAATTTTGATTTTTTTTTTAAATAATTAGGCTCATCTGGGGATGTGCATTTACATAAACTGTAGTTGCCCAATAGAAAAGTCACTATTGCCACTTGCATTAAAAGGAATTACATATAAACAATAACCATAATAAATACAAACCAACCTTAAAAGTATTATTTCCATTCATTGAATGATAAGCAGGTAACATATCCAGTCCTGCATTAGCTGACAGCGGGCCTGGATATTTGGCATAGCGGGTCTTTATGTCTCGTACAACATCGTTCTGACAATCAGCATACTTGCGTCTCTCAAATTCCTGAATATTTCAAACTACAGGTATTACTACAACATCTATACAGATAAATCTGAATTAAATTTCTATAACTGATGTCTTTAATACTTTTAATAATTCAAACTTCAACAAAAAGTTATTTGATCAGATTGTTGACAATTAATCATATTATACAATATGAACCAGCCATGAACTTTGTGACAGGTTATTAATTTGTCACTCTTTTAATGTATTCAGGTGCTTACAAAATTACTGACTTGCTGAAGAGGAAAGTTAACTAAAAGTTGGCTATTCTTCTAATTAGAATTAAGTTTAAAAGTTTGGTTTAAACAAAATTTATTTTAATCAAATATATATACACAATATAACTGTAATCAAATGCAAAAAGGATCGAGTAGAAAGCTAAAAGCTTTTTTTTTAGAAAGTCTCTCCTTAGGTTAAAAGTTTAGTAGTTTCAGAAATTGAAACAAGTACATGTATACAGTTTATATATTAATTGCATTTTATCATACAAACAGATTTAATAAATAGCTACTAAGATCCTGCATTTAAAAGCTTCTCGTTTCATAATTTATTTTTCTATTATCATTTTGTTGGTTATAAGTTTATAAATACAGAATTTATTTTATTTCATTATCTGCTGCAGGTTTTAAGCTTAAATACAAGTTCCTGGAAACAATTAGAGTAAAATTTCTTGCTCAAGGAAACAACAGCTTGCCCCTGACAGGGTTTTTACCTATCATACAGCCAGCAATCCTTAGATTACTAGTCTGACATGTTAAATCACCATTCCATAAAGCTTAACACAGCTTTTAAAGTTTTACTAGGAAAGGAAAATGTCAGATGTCCATCCTTGCATTATTTATGAAAGACGTAAGCCTGTTTAATAATAAAATATATTTTGCATGAGAGCTGGATAACACTTAACACACAAAGTGCAATGCTCCTGTAAAAATTTGAAGCATCCACAGACGAAATTATTACAATATATTTCCATATTGGCCAGCTTTCATAAAGGAGTAAATCCCTTCAGGCCATTCTGTTAGTTAAACCTAACACTTAAGGGCACATGAATAAAACTTCCGACCTTTGACCTAATCTAAGAATAGATTTCAGTTACCTCATATTCTGCTTGCATAGCATCATTGTCATTCTGTTTAGACATGTCGCTGTCAGGTTTACAAGGAGACCTTGATAGAGTAGTGTCCCCTGATAAAGTATTGCCCTGTGCCAAAGTGTTGCCTGCTGACATTGTATGGCTCAGCAATCCCCTTGAACTTGCATGCCTGTGTGAAAATAGAAGATTGTGAAAATATAAGAATGTATTAATGAAAATCATTTTTATCACTAATAGAACTAGTAATAATCTTCTTTTAGGTGAGTCTGTTTTAAAGGGAACAGAATGACATTAGATAATTAGTAAATTAGTAATAGGCAATATTAACAGCTTCAGAATAGAAGGTATGTGGGTGGTGATTGCATGATAAAGATAGCTACAGAAATACACAAACTTCTGAGTGTATCTTTTTAAACTTCGGAGATAGTCTCTCCTACTACGCAATCGTCTTCGGAGAAAGTAAACAGCGACAATGACACAAACTATAACTATGACTCCGCCCACAGCTCCTCCTGCAATTCCACCATGCATACCTTCATTTTCACTCTCATTATCATGTGATTCTCCTGTAAAATAAAATCATTTAGATTAATATTTAAAGTAACTTCACTTAGGTCAAAAAGTGTAGAAACATAAATTTTGAAATTTTAACATGGATCAACTGACAAGAGGGCCATGATGGCCCTGAAGTCGCTCACCTGTATATAGGCCCCCGTAGTGGGGCCAGTTTAAACCCCAGGGCTTTTATTTGAACAAACTTGGTAGACACCCATTAGAAGATGTTTCATGCTAAACACCTAAGGTCTAGCTGGTCAAGTTTTTTTCTTTACACAAATATTTAAAAACAATGACACACCTGGGGCTGGGCCAGTTTGGACCAAAGGGCTTTTATTTGAACAATCTTTGTAGACACTTACTAGAAAATGTTTCATGCTAAATATCTGAACTCTAGCTATTCGGATTTTTCGAAGAAGATTTTTAAGTTTTTGCTATACACATATAAGGAAAATCAATGACCCCCGGGGTGGGGCCAATTTTGACCCCAGGGCTTTTATTTGAACATACTTTGTAGACACTTACTAGAAGATGTTTCATGCTTAATATCTAAACTCTAGCTATTTGGGTTTTTTCAAAGAAGATTTTTAAATTTTTGCTATACACATATAAGGAAAATCAATGTCCCCCTGGGGCGGGGCCAATTTTGACCCCAGGGCTTTTATTTGAACAAACTTTGTAGAAACTCACTAGAAGATGCTTCGTGCTTAATATCTAAACTCTAGCTATTTGAGTTTTTTCACAGAAGATATTTTAAGTTTTTGTTATACACATATAAGGAAAATCAATGACCCCCGGGGCGGGGCCAATTTTGACCCCAGGGCTCTTATTTGAACAAACTTGGTAGACATCCATTAGAACATGTTTCATGCTAAATATCTTACCTCTAGCTCTTTGGGTTCTTTAAAAGAAGATTTTTTAAGTTTTTACTATATGCATATAGGGAAAATCAATGACCCCCTGGGGCGGGGCCAATTTTGACCCCATGGCTTTTATTTGAACAAACTTGGTAGACACCCATTAGAAGATGTTTCATGCTAAATTTCTTAGCTCTAGCTCTTTGGGTTCTTTAAAAGAAGATTTTTTAAAGTTTTTACTATATGCATATAGGGAAAATCAATGACCCCCTGGGGCGGGGCCAATTTTGACCCCAGGGCTTTTATTTGAACAAACTTGGTAGACACTCACTAGAAGATGTTTCATGCCAAATATCTAAGCTCTAGCTCTTTGGGTTTTTTAGAAGATGATATTTAAAGTTTTTTCTTTTGGTTGCCATGGCAACAAGAGTTCTGCATGGAATTAAATTCTTTGAACAATTTTCAAAGGTGACCACCAAAGGAACTTTCCTGTGAAGTTTGGATGAAATTGGCTTAGTGGTTTATGAGGAGATGTCATTTAATGTAAAAGTTTACGGACGCCGGACGCCGGATGAAAAGCGATCACAAAAGCTCACCCTGTCAGGTGAGCTAAAAAAATTACAAAAAATTATATAAAAAAATACATAGTATACTCAGTTTGAAAATGAATAAGATTTAAGCCTAACTTGAATGAAAAGCTCTTAAATTCTTGGTATTTTGCATATATTTTTTAGTATCAATAAAAATGATTATTCAGAAACAAGAGGGCCATGATGGCCCTGAAGTCGCTCACCTGTATATAGGCCCCTGGAGCGGGGCCAGTTTAAACCCCAGAGCTTTTATTTGAACAAACTTGGTAGACACCCATTAGAAGATGTTTCATGCTAAACATCTAAGGTCCAGCTGGTCAAGTTTTTTCTTTACACGTATAGTTAAAAACAATGACACACCTGGGGCAGGGCCAGTTTGGACCCAAGGGCTTTTATTTGAACAATCTTTGTAGACACTTACTAGAAAATGTTTCATGCTTAATATCTAAACTCTAGCTATTCGGGTTTTTTCAAAGAAGATTTTATAAGTTTTTGCTATACATATATAAGAAAAATCAATGTCCCCCGGGGCGGGGCCAATTTTGATCCCAGGGCTTTTATTTGAACAAACTTTGTAGACACTCACTAGAAGATGCTTCGTGTTTAATATCTAAACTCTAGCTATTTGAGTTTTTTCAAAGAAGATTTTTTTAAGTTTTTGTTATACACATATAAGGAAAATGAATGACCCCCGGGGCGGGGCCAATTTTGACCCCAGGGCTTTTATTACAACAAACTTGGTAGACACTCACTAGAAGATGTTTCATGCTTAGTATCTAAACTCTAGCTATTTGGTTTTTTTCAAAGAAGATTTTTTAAGTTTTTGTTATACACATACAAGGAAATTCAATGACCCCCGGGGCGGGGCCAATTTTGACCCCAGGGCTCTTATTTGAACAAACTTGGTAGACATCCATTAGAACATGTTTCATGCTAAATATCTTAGCTCTAGCTCTTTGGGTTCTTTAAAAGAAGATTTTTTAAGTTTTTACTATATGCATATAGGGAAAATCAATGACCCCCTGGGGCGGGGCCAATTTTGACCCCAGGGCTTTTATTTGGTCAAACTTGGTAGACACCCATTAGAGGATGTTTCATGCTAAATATCTTAGCTCTAGCTCTTTGGGTTTTTTAAAAGAAGATTTTTTAAGTTTTTACTATATGCATATAGGGAAAATCAATGACCCCCTGGGGCGGGGCCAATTTTGACCCCAGGGCTTTGATTTGAACAAACTTGGTAGACACCCATTAGATGATGTTTCATGCTAAATATTTTAGCTCTAGCTCTTTGGGTTCTTTAAAAGAAGATTTTTAAAGTTTTTACTATATGCATATAGGGAAAATCAATGACCCCCTGGGGCGGGGCCAATTTTGACCCCAGGGCTTTTATTTGAACAAACTTGGTAGACACTCACTAGAAGATGTTTCATGCCAAATATCTAAGCTCTAGCTCTTTGGGGTTTTTAGAAGAAAATATTTAAAGTTTTTTCTTTTGGTTGCCATGGCAACCAGAGTTCTGCATGGAATTAAATTCTTTGAACAATTTTCAAAGGTGACCACCAAAGGAACATTCCTGTGAAGTTTGGATGAAATTGGCTTAGTGGTTTATGAGGAGATGTCATTTAAAGTAAAAGTTTACGGACGGACTGACGACGTACGGACGCCGGACGAAAAGCGATCACAAACGCTCACCCTGTCACTTTGTGACAGGTGAGCTAAAAACAGAGTGAGCAAATAAAATGACATGAAATTATGAACAGATATCATTGGTCTATACCTACCTTACATCATATGGTACACAAATCTCAATAACACATATTTCCAATCCTTTCATGTCAAAAAAATTGAGTCCTTTTAATGATTTTAAACCCTGATGGGGCACCTTTATGAATCAGTTTTTCATATTTTCAATTCTAGAAAGTACGAGACATTTTTTGTAACATAAGCGGCAACTGGATTTACCAATCCCACTAGTGCAAACCAAAACACTCGATACATCTAACCATCTGATCATGGCCTGCACTGTTTGCTTATCAGTCAGTAAATATTTTGAAATTTGCCCTTAAAAAGATGACTGGCTTTATTCAGAGTGAAAGATAGACAAGTTCTTCAAGATATTTCGCATGGTAAGGGTTAAGCAGGTAATGACTGCAAGCATTACGAAAGTCAGACATGTTACAGAACTTACCTTCAATGTCAATGTCATTTTCACCAGTTGTAATACTGACAGTTACATCCTCTATATCTGGCTCTATCTCCCCGGAGAAAAGTGGGTGTGGTCTAGTCATTTTAGTTATAGCCAGAGCAAAATTGTTAATAGCTGAAAAACATGAAGATCATGATGGTCATAAATCATCACTTGAAATGTATCTGAATCTTGAAAACTAGTTGCCTATACAGATGACAGACCATTCCATATTATGTTTTATGGTAATGCATTTGAGCCGCGCCATGACAAAACCAACATAATGGGTTTGCGACCAGCATGGATCTAGGCCAGCCTGCGCAACCGCGCAGTCTGATCAGGATCTATGCTATTTGCTTAACAAGTAGAGAAACTGATAGCGAACAGCATGGATCCTGATCAGACTGCGCGGATGCGCAGGCTGGTCTGGATCCATGCTGGTCGCAAACCCATTATGTTGGTTTTGTTGTGATATGGGCAAAAAATCTATGTGAAGACACTACAGAGGACTATCACAGAATGTTTTTTGACAACTCATCCACAGCAATGTTTTTTTTCTATCTTAAACAGTGCACCAAATACATTTTCAAGGGCAAGGCCATTTTCTTGTATTGTTCAAATACCAATTAAAGGGTATAAAAGAAACCAATTAAAGGGTATAAAAGAAATATTTTTTTAAATCTATAAAATAGTAAAATTATGTTGTTTCCTTAATAATGATCAATTAGTTGGAAAATCTGTATGCTATTTGACACACATTAATATTGTTCGTAGACAGAATAATGAACAAAGTATTTTGCTGCTATTTATAGTATGGTTTTAACCATAAATTTTATCTATTATTCTTATAATGCATGCACCATTCAGTCTTGAGAAATAAACAAGGCTATTTTCTTCACAGTATTCTTTTTCAACATCCAAACAAATTTTTTTCAGCAGATATATAGCTTTATACACTTTAACAATTTAATATACAAAGTTTAATGATATAAATTCAATCTGTTCATGAAAAGTTGATTGAACATTTTTCTATGTTTTTTTTTTTTATTATACCAGCATGACAATGTTACAGAGGAAAAATATACTGATACATAAAAAGTAACTGTTATAATGTTAATAGATTCTATTGTTCTATAATTATGATGTTAATTAAAAACATATGAAGTGAAAAGCAAATCTTGGAAATGAAACAGAAGTCTTACATGGTACACTGACAAACTTGTGTTTTTCTGTGCAGTTGTCCCTCCTGTATGTCAATGAACCATCTGTCATCTTCATAACACCCAAACACATCTCATCAGTGTTATATTTTTCTGAAACTAAAAATGCATTTCATATTTCAATTTATCACATACCTGTGCTGCTTAAATGGTATTGCACAACTGTGCATTTATTTTGTTGTGACATGGCATTACACAAATAAAGCGTTTAGATGCGCTAAATGTTGGCGTTACACTATAGGCGCATCAACAGAAACTGGTTCTTTTTCACTTCAAACGGTCAATTCTTTTTGGTTTGTGATAAATAGAATATTAAATTCATGTAAGTTCATTATTGAATTCATTGAATGAGTTGAATAAAATAAAATTATGCTTGCCAGAGGCCTGCATATAATTTTATTCAATTTGTTCAATAAATTCAGGACTAAACTTTACACTCATTCAATATCTTGTATGCCTACTAAATTATATCTTCTGAAATTCTTCTTAAATAGAATTTGTGAAAAAATGCTTTGTCATCGCATAAAGTACAACGCTTAATAGTAGGAACAGAAGTAGATCTTTTTTTATTTCTATACAATTGAACTTTGCCATGATGCAATAGTGTCTAGTGAAATTGGGGGTCAAGGTCATATACCAGCATGTCAAATAAAAGACAATGTGCAAATGTGTCCAATGTTCAGATACAAAGGCCATAATATAATAATTGATTCAAAACAGAAGTATTCTTACTCGATAGAAATTTTTATATTTACATAGCTGTATCAAACTTTCAAATACAGTTACAGTTATCTTTCTTACAATTAGTATCTTAAAATTATCTAAATATTTCTGAAAACATATAAACATTTACCATTTAAAACCATCATAAGAGACAATGTATAATGTTTAATCTAATCTACACTATCTTTCTGTACGAGGTATACATTGTGAGTATCATAATGTCCTTATTATATGCTCAAATCATTTCATTTGAAATATATTGAAATATCTTTGAAAAGCAATCATCTCTCTTGCTTAAAGGTCATGAAGACTTTTGATCTACAAGTGTGCATGACCTTGACCTTTGAGGTAGGGTCCTAATTCTTGCATGTGACACAACTTTAGGTCTAAAACATTTATGCATTATAATTTAAACTCATTGAAGAATAACAGAATTGTTGACAGAACACTGATGCATCTTTATTAAAAATTTCCTTTCAAGCTTGACCTTTGAGCTTCAGACCTAGATCTTGCACATGTATTGCCCCAATGCGCTACACATTTTCTACAAAATTATTTCAAAATCCATCCATAAATGACAGAGTTATGGACAGGACAAGTTCTGACCCCATTTAAGGGGATGGATGTAACAATTTTTTTACTGAAAGTCAGCTATTAGCTTTGTAATGGGATGATCATACATACCTACATCCGGAATCTTGCTCATGTTAGCCACCCAGAATGGGACATCTCTTTTCAGCAGAGACACTGCCCCTTTTAGTATTTTAGCTGATGATAAACTGAGAAGCGTCCAGCCACTAGAACTTTCACATTTATTGTCGGCCTCATCCCAAGATAAATCCGGCATATCAACATATTTCTTTGTTTCTTGATTATTTGCTGGTAAAAAAAACATCACAATATTCATTAACTTTTCTATCATACTTGGTTTCAATATATTTTTAAATTATGTGCTTATGATATGGGAAACAAAATTGTCTAATTTGAAGATGTTTTTTTTTGCAAGCTCCAGAAAAATACAACATTGAAATTATAACTAATATTGAAATTATAAACACATTTCAATTGTGATATACTCATCAATTTAAGTTTTTATATATCACAGGAGACTATATAAGAGACACCTGTATCAACACAATGTTCAAGGAAACTGTGCTAGGGTTCACGAGTCCCTAGCACAGAACATGATGACTTGAAAGGCAGGTTCTTTCCTGGCATAACAGCCCTTTTCAGGGCTACCTCCTTTTCATATTGCTCAGGTTACTGTACATTTAGGTTCTCATTGACCGCCATACAGTGACCTACTTTTGGCTCAAAATTCATATCTTTGATTAATACTCTGTGGAAATTGTATAGAGGTAAATTACCACCACTTTGTGCTTCAAAATTAAACCTTTTAAGACATGCCATGTCTGGGGTCCGTACTCAACAGCAAAAGCTTTTTGTGCTTAAACAGGCGGATGAACCCTCATTAAGCATAGGATACATACAAACTCAAGGTTCAAAGCAACATTTTGAAGTGATGGTGGAGGGTTATCTAGGTTTTTGTGTAAGTTAGCTTACATTACACTTTAGCAATTTAACTACATTTAAGAGAAAAGAAAACCTCTTGTCCATGGAGGATATAAAAGAAACCTTACCATTATGGCAAAGATAAGCCGTCAACGTGGAATCTGCAGGTATGTAAGCAAGCTTCAAATGAATGGATCTCCTTGCTGTAAGTTTGGTAAAATAAAGCATAATTATGTTATTGCTTTAGATAAAATGGCACTGTAAACAATGCACTAAATTCATTGCAGACAAGTAATAAAACTTGTGAACAACTTAAACTATATGAAAATGACACAGAACAACATTTTAATTTGGCATGAATTCATTTGTCTCTTTCTATACCTTGATGGTTAATTTTACAATGAAGATGAAAGTCATGGGGTCAAATTGGTCAAGGCTATTTTTTACCTTTGTTTAATGATTAATATATATATGCATTATACAAGATAAATCTATGGAAATAAAAAGCAATTAAAAGATACGAGTGGCTGCATGGCCGCGTGGTTTATATATCAGACAAGCAATCTAAAGATCTTGTAACACAGGAATGTGCAAATAAGGCAAACGTAATGCCAAATCTGTGCAGTGCTATGGCTAAAAGTCCCAAATATAACACAGTAAGTAAATGAACCAAAATATTTTGTTCAAATTAAATGAAATGAACAATCACATACGGCTACTATCTCATTACATTTCAACAAGCATTACAAATTTTTCCAGGAATATGTTCACTTTTTTTTAGACTATTAAAATTTTTTTTGGAATGTGTTTGGTGGAAATTAGAAAGTACATGAACGCTTTTTCCTTCATATTTGGTATACCTTAGACATTTCCTAAAACTACTTGTTTAGTGTCATATAACACAAGAAGTAGGTAAAATAAGATTCAGCTACTTTTAACAGGGTAAACGGCATTGCATCTTTCACAATTTAGTGTTACCAAGTAAAATGGTTGGTCACATTTTATCTGCTGATTTAAGTGTAATATAACATGTCTCATGTAGTACTTATTGTATTAAAAGATCAATAAATTACAAAAGTTTCCTTCCATATGCCAGTCAGGTCATCATTCCCACGAATGATCTTGAAAAATAAAAATTTTCGCAGAAATATTTTTGATGAAGTTTAAAATATAATGTCTCAGCAACTGCATTTCTTTCTATTTGATGTACAATAAAAACATTGATGCATTTTCTTTCCTTGGTGCTTGTTCAGACACAGAATAAAACAATTCTGCATAATGCATTATTCCTACATCATTTTGAACATTCCTGTCACTGGATACATGGTGGATATGAACATGAATATTTCAAGTTTTTCATTTGGCTATATACTGGTGGCAAGGTTAATTTGAGCCGCGTCAGAACAAAACCAACATAATGGGTTTGCGACCAGCATGGATCCAGAACAGCCTGCGCATCCGCGCAGTCTGATCTGGATCCATGCTGTTCTCTATCAGTTTTTCTACTTGTTATAGAGTTTGTAAGCGAACAGCATGGATCCTGATCAGACTGTGCGGATGTGCAGGCTGGTCTGGAACCATGCTGGTCGAAAACCCATTATGTTGGTTTTGTCGTGACGTGGCTCATTTCTTTTCTAGCAGGGTAAGGATTACAGGGTAAGGCAAGAAAACATATCACATTGTTACAAAGGCAAAACTGCTTTTTAACACTTAAAGCTACATGCCTCCAGATGAGTAAAAAAAATCTCAATAAAATCAAACTTGATAAAAATGTACTAGGATTTTAGAAATAGTAAAATGATTACAGATTCAAGTAATATTTTACATTTTATGTGTGCTTAATGACTGATTTTTCAGTATTTAAAACTATATTTCTACTGCGTTACTAAAGCAGTAAAGGCTATTTAATGTATTTTGGCCACTTTGCAGTTATTAATGTGGGTTGTAACCGCCATTGATAATGTGTATATTGCTTTCTTTTGGTTACTACACAATATTATACATTCAAATACATTTTTAAAGTTTTTATGAAAATTAGTATGAATCTGGGGGCGTGCTGCTTTACCTACTGGTATTTTGCAGTTTTGTTCAAAGATACATACATGGATAGCCAATCTTAACATCCTTGGCATTTAGCCAGACAAGTTCCTCAGCTTCCAAATCTTCAAATATCCCACTCTTCTTGAAATCTTCTAAACCTATGTCAGGTACCAGAGAACGTCTATTTGCGTAACAGACTATCTGGGCATTATCCCAATCTTGGCTTAAAGGATGTATCGTATATTCTGTGCAATAAAACAAACTTAATGATATTTTATCCTGGTATTTGTAGAAGGGCGAGTTCAAGAGGTGAGACAAGTGACTTCTGTCAGATATAAAGTGATCCACTGAACTTCAAACACTTCAACAATTTGGTAAAAATCAATGTTCAATAAATACGCATAGGCTTTTTTATTTTAATTCACAAAGTCCATTTTAGTTCTTAACAATAATCCGGATTCCTATATTTTTAAAATAAGAATACAACATTTTTTTAAGTCTACTGCACTAAAGTACGCTTTTCAGTTGTTTTTTTTTTTTTTTTATATTCTAAATTGTAATCATATCAAAATAAGTATAGTTTGAATTATGCTTTAGATTATAACTTTCACATACAAATGTGATGTTTCTATTCAAGTTTCATAATTATATTATATACAAATGTTATTATAGTATAGTCCTTGTACTCACCACCTTCATTTAAGGCATCAGTTAATGTAAATAAAATCCAAGATAATATGACAGCCTCCGAAAAAACTTTCATTCTGTCACAATTATTTCTAACTCCACTTAGATCTATACTTGCTAATTTGAAAACAAACGACTCGCCCTACTTTAATAGATGTTTCTGTGAACAATTTTGTATAATCGTACAAATCTTCTTAATTTTTTAAGTACGAGTTCTGAACAAAGTATTTTATTTTGCTTTTTCAGAAAAAACATCAAATTATCACAGTGGCCTTACCAACTTTCATTCACATCAACTAACATTTTTTAATCCTTTGATCAAATCAATAAACTTTATTAATAGCCACATGTCCATTTTTCTTGTATATAATGTATAATTATAAAAAAAGAAAAAGAAATCAGTGTTTAATAAAGTCAATATTTTTAATAATCGTTAACCAAATTTGTCTGAAATTGTTACATAATCCCTGAAGCACTGAGCTCAAATAATACAAAAAAGAAAAGACTAAATCATCATAAATTATTAAACATTTTAATTTTCAAATATGAACACAGAAAAAAAAAAGTTCATCCAGTAATGAGAAGATGAAATTAAAAGTTTGTACAGAGAATTCAAATTATTGCTAACAAAAGCTGTCAAGTGTATTGTAACTTTTTGTGAAGCCTGTAAAACAATGGTATGAATCAGAACTTGTTAAGTGTTAGAGGAAACTACTCATTAACACCATATTGTTTTTTAACAAATGATGACCCATCCTTTGAAAATTAACTTTCAGCATAATTGTTATACATTTCACAATTAATCATACCTCGTGACTATAAAAATGTAATAAACTATTCAAAAAATAATTTACAGAGAAATACAAAATGTAAGTTTATAACAATAGCAACTTTGTCACAACTAAAGCACAATAAAAGAAAAGTTCCATTCATCTTTCTCTTCATATATATTGGTTTAACATTTGGAATGGTAAAGGGTGTAGTGACGTGGAAGTTTTATGCCACTAGTACAGAGCATTGCCAGTCTTCACACACATTTGAGCTGCGTCATGACAAAACCAACATAATGGGTTTGCAACCAGCATGAATCCAGACCAGCCTGCGCATCCACACAGTCAGTTCTGGATCCATGCTGTTCGCTTACCAACTCTATAACAAGTAGAGAAACTGATGGCGAACAGCAAGGATCCTGATCAAACTGCGCCGATGCGCACGCTGGTCTGGATCCATGCTGGTCGCAAACCCATTATGTTGGTTTTGTCATGAGGCGGCTCATTTATATTCATACTGTAAGACTGTCGGTGCGAGGGGGCGTGGACAGTAGTTTGCACTGGACAGTACCGTCCATGAACATGCACAATTAAACCAAGCCTGCCGCATTTTCAATTCTGCCTTTTTGGACTTTCTTTAGGGGTTTGTACTTTCACTATTTTACACACTACATTGCTGACTGCCTTATTGTAACATTTTAAAGTACATGTGTACCTTCTTTTACATTAGCAAATAAGAATTTTTTATATTCAAACAAAAGTCCATTTAACATAAAGTTAGCAGGGTATGAGTTTAGGTATTAAGTTTTCCTATTAATTAGTGAAAGAAGACTCAAAGACAACTGTTTGTGCAATATTTCTCGCAACGATTTGCTCCCAAAGTAAAACTACTATGTAATGGCAAGGCATCTAGATAGTTTCCCCACAAAAGAATTCAATTACCAAAGTTAGATTCAAATCCATACTATTGAGAAACAAGGAATTAGTCAAAAACCTTAATCTTTCAACTATGAAGGCCCCTATTTGGAAATCTGTATTACTGTGGTTTGTCAACAGACATATACTTAGAAATGTTTATAGTGTTAAATTATTTACTTTTAACATGTTCAATAACAGACCTCTACAGATTTTAACAATGGAAAAATGTGCCCCGCCTTTTCTTTTCAATGTTTTAGGTCAATTGTTCACACACAATACCATGTGTTGTTTTGTTTAAACAAGGTCAACCAATGATCATGTAGTATCCCAGTGTAACAACTTAATAACCAGTCAGCCAATTTACATTAAACTGTAAACACTGGAAAGGTTCATTACTAAATGACAGAATATGAATTATCTTAATCATTTCAATACCATTTACAGTTATATCATTTCTTTCCAGTCTGCGTTAAGTTAAATGGACATCTATCAGAAATAAGTGTAATGAATAACAAATTTTTTTTATGTTGTCATCACAACTCATAATGAATAGTATATACAAGTGTCCACCTAAATAGTTTAACAGGGAGCGCATTGAATTAGTAATCCGGGGTTGCAAGTTTAATCCCAAGTCAAGGCATAATTTCACAGCAGCAAAGACACATAGTCATATGGTCATTTGTCTCTCAATGCTCAGATTCAGAAATCATGTGGGATTCGTTGCTGGTCACTTTAGGAGAAATTGGTAGTTACTGGTTAGTTATTCTGGAAAGCTGGTTTGGTAGATGGATTTCCAAAATTTGGCCAAAAACCGGTTATAAAATTGGCATCAATCCAGAAAAATACACAAACTGTTTATACCTTATTCAGGAACAATCATACATGCAGACTCACTTCAAGATGGCCAATCGATGCCGTTGAACACAGGAATCCACAAAAATATTTCTAGATCTAGAAAACCTGAAAACTAATATTCAGGAATATGTCGTCCTATCTCAGCAAGACACGAAAATTACCATTCTCAGGTATAATTTGAGTTACAATATTTTTGAATTAATAATAAGGTAGTTAGCTTAATTGAAGAAATAGACAGTATTACTAAAGTCTTGTGTATCAGTAACTTTAGTATCAGCTCCCTGTGGTATGATACCTTGGTACCATCCAGAAATAACTGTATATTTTGACTGATTTCTACCAATATTTTGTTAAGTGTGAGTTTTGTTACACATCATAAAAACAACTTCATCATGCATAATTTCTATGACTTTTCCCAACCAACCAGTCAGTTATGTTGCTACATTAATTTCAAAAAATCTCCTGACCTATGACAAGGGTATATTTAACATTCTGTCTCTCACGTATACACAATTCATTTCCCTGAAAATTAAACAGCATGTAGTGAAAGTGAGGATATTGTAGCAGAAACTGTAACTGTGGTATTTTATGAAATAATGTGGTGTACCCAGGTATATTGTGGTGTACCCAGGTATATTTTCCTGCTGGTATCATACCATATTTAACTTCCTCTAGTGAAATAGTTCAACCTCACATTATCAGTTTAACCAGTTGTTGGTTCAGCAAAGTTTACCAGTCAGTAAGTAATAGAAATCAGAAAAAAACTTAATAAATGATCATATGGTTCTGGCCTAGATGTGCAACAGTTAACATTTATTTAAACAATGCTTTTCATTGTGTTTATTCATACACCAAATATAAATAAATTCATCTCTTAGTCTCTTTAGAAATGTTTGGCAGTTAGAAATATGCCAAATTTGAGGCATGTAAGTAAATTGACAGATATCTGTTAAAAATTTATTACCCCCTATACCTTTTCACATTTCCCCATTTACATATATCTTATGTAATTTTCCCAAAGAAAAAAAGTCACTTGCAGACTTGCAGTAAGTATCATTATGTTGAAATTTGATAGAATGAAATATTGGCTAAAGTTGCTTTGAATGATCATTTCATCGATTATCAAACCTTTAATGACTTTATATGAAACATAAAAACAATTCATTCATGTGCTACTAAATAAAACCAGACTTCACTGTCCTCATTGGATAAAACAATGTTTACGATAGAGTCTTATCAATCCATTACATGGCAAATCTTGAAACTGGACATCACGTATTTTGTACAATTTCTTCTACAGTTTCAACAACTTCTTCATTTGCTCCACTGATTGGTATTATAGACTCTACACTATTGTCAATCTCAATTTGTTGCACTTCCTCAATCACTGTTTGGTTTGGATCGACGATAACTTGTTGTCCGTTTATATCCGGTCCCTGAACAACGACCTGAATCATTCTACCGGAATTTAATGTCACATTCTGGACAGTTGTGTTCATTGGCATGCCCTGCGATGATACATACTGAATGTCATTTGCAATATCCTGTAAAGCTTGTACAGCAACACGTGTTTGTTCAATCGTATCTAACTCACTTGTCTCCTCTTTGGTAACCACTTGAGTACTGACATCATTGGTCACTTCATCTGTAATATCAATTAAAATACTATTTGAGCCGCGTCACAACAAAACCAACATAACGCATCCGCGCAGTCTGATCAGGATCCATGCTGTTTGCTTACAGACCCTATAACAAGTAGAGAAACTGAAAGCGAACAGCATGGATCCTGATCAGACTGCGCGGATGTGCATGCTGGTCTGGATCCATGCTGGTCGCAAACAGATTATGTTGGTTAGCCATGACGCAGCTCAGATATATCAACACTAAATTTATATTCAGTTCAAACAGATGATATGCTGAATACATAATAATAATATCCCTAAATAAGATTAATACCCCTTATTAATGTAAGTACAATTTTCAATGTATCCCATGAGCAGTTGGATTTTTATTTTATGCAGAGTCAAAACTTTATGGACAACCCTCGCAAAATTACTAATACCCCTAAATTAAAATTGTAACAAATGCGCAATAACACATTGGTAATAGTAATTCTAACTTGTCTACATTATGAGAAATATAATGTAATATTTCTTAAATCAAACAACATTGACACTGCTTCAAGATTAGCTATAAATATCAAAGTTGTTGCTGTCACCTGCCAAGTGAAAAACT